CAGCGGAAATGAACAATATATAAATCTTGTTGTAATATACGGAAGATTTCAGTGAATAAGAGCATCTTTTTCCATAAAAAAGTTTTCACTCAGTATATAATTACCACACAGATGTCACTACTGGAATGAATCCATTTAGTTTGTTTCAAGTCAAACTTTCTCTACTTTAAGTAGTTCACCGCTATCAATCTATGATGCTGCTAGCTGTGCAACATATGTCAGGTAATTAACATTTTCATCTAGCTCTCCGGGATATTAAACCTTTTGCAAAGGTGTAGACGGCAAAGATTTAAGTCAGAACGGGGTCTCGGATCTCTTCACAATCAATGGTACCAGCTAAAACGAAACCATACCAAACTGAGTTCTTATTCTCATTGTTCGTCTCCCTCGTGTATTGAGACAACAGCATCAGCTTGATTGAACACAAGCGACTGTATACTAGATTCGACATTTTGCTGAAAATTATTATTGTAAATAAAACATTCTCCCAAATCACTCAAATTTCAATCCATTTGAGAGCATTGTGCTGTTTCTTGAAGAGGTATAGAAAGGTGAACTCTGTTTACTTAGCTTCCCAAAAGCACCAAATTATGAGCTTTCTGTTATAGACGATATTTTCCTTATTTTAACTATAGATGTCAGATTAAAACTGTGCCAGTATATTCACTTAATCCTATATATTCTAAAACTTATGGATAGTGCCATTACCACTATTTATACATTCACCTGTTTTTCGTACTTCACTATGTATTGCTGTTTAATTTTTCTGCAGAATATTTAGGTAGTGAATATTATAATCATGTGATTTTCACTATTTAATGGCCCGTGGCACACGACCTCGTCATAATCCCCGCGAACAGATATTTGTAAAACCATGGTAATTTATCACCAAGTTACCTTTCGTGGTTGCTATCCATATTGACCATTCATTCAATCTTGATTTTATCGTTGTTGTTCTGGTTTAGTGGGTATTCATTTCCGGTTCCTCGTATTATTCCCCTTATGTTTGTTTGTGTACTTGTTAGTCCTCACTTCCTAATGCAGCTACTTTCACTGACCATCATTCAGAACCCACATGTCATTAAACACAACACAGTATTAGTTCGGAATCAACCAGGATAGCTACAACGCTCCAGTTCGGTCCGGATAAGAGTAGTCATGCGTAGAGGAGTCTCTGACCGACGGTGAACGTCTGTTACTGACGACGACAGTGACATATGAGTCGGCTTATTGAGCTCCTAAGAATTAGTCCCGTCAGTCTAATAGGTAAGCGTATTAGATAGGAAATCCTACGTTAACTGGCACTTGCTCTATTTTGCCCATGTGATGCATGTGTCTGCTTCCATGGCAGTGTAATTTAGCCGCATGCTATTAATTAGAAATTATAAGAATGCTGTTCTTGATTCACTGTACATCATTCATCAAAGTGATAGATGCTGATGACGGAGTTGTATTCGGTTGGGACCCGGGTTTCAGGTTGCAGGTGAGATAAGGAGCCCATCGGTAATCAGCAGACTCGACCTGGCAAACAAGGAACCCTAAACGAGCAGCAGCAGCAGCAGTACCCGACTGGCGTCCATGGGGTAAATGCTCCTCCCATAAAAGGAACATCATGTCCAATAACCAGAATGTGTCGTGGAGATTGTGCCTCCCTACTGATAATTGTAATTGTTTATTTTGCCTTCGCCTAACTCGCTTTTCCATGGCGATGAAACAATTTGTGCAGGGGCTCGTGGTAGGAGATTCCCGAGATTCGCAATAATTCGGTTTTCTCACCCATGTAGTGTCATACAGACGAAGAACCAAGGATCAGAAATATACTACTACCGTGTTTACAGCATTGACTTCAACATAAACTTCTCGATTCGCTACATGGCATCCCCTTAGAGATCGCCTCCAGACCCATTGCCGGATGTCAGTTATCAGTCAGCCTTGCAGTTACATAAATCGGTCTATTTTGTGTAAACAAACATCGAGGCTTCAAATGTTCACACTACGTATTTCATCGTATTCTTCCAATAACCTGAGGCCCGGGTTGATAGTGTCCTTTTACCAGAAAATATCCTAATATTTTGGGCTTATTTCCCCAAATGGGTTTCATCAATGTTCGTAAGGACCTCAAAAGGCACGTAACTTGTTTGCCATCTACCGTATGCCAAGGTAATAACAGAGATAGACGTCCCATTTTGCGCTAACCCGTTGCTCAAAACTTCTATGCAACTCAAAACAAAATTCAAATCTGATTCCATGCTTGATAAATAGAGCGGTGAAAATATGTAGTTATGAAACCATAAATAGGGAACTATCCTTCGTCCGTGATGCTGTCCTAAAAAACGGTTATCCAGCACGTTTTGGGAAGAGCACTTTATGAAATAATCTTTCAGGGGAGAGACTTCTAAGTCTAGAACAGTATGCCGTATACTTCTCTCTCCCGTTCAATAGGGGAAACAGTTCTGGATTTGGTCAATTCCAACTGAGAATCGCTGTGAGAAACGCACTCCAGGCTTCGAAACAACATGTCGTATTTATGCTCAGACACTTCCTCAGTTTGCAAATCAAAAACAGTATTACTGCTTCTGCAGTCTCGTTTTGTGTGTACCTGTTTACGAGTTTCTTTGAAGCGACTTATATCGACCGCACGAGGAGGCTCCTACCTACAAGGATTCTGGAGGATCACACTATCTGCTTAAATACTGGTGTCATTAAATCTATTACAACTGAAGTCTGAATGCTGGTCAGCTCGAATCATTATTAATTATTTCACACTAATACTCAGAACTAACTGGCTATTGAATGTGATTTTTCACAAGTGCCATCGTTTCACACTTCGTCGAATCTGACCAAACGGTAAGTGTTAATGAACTATTTTGGGTTCGTCATCGTGAGAGAATCTTTTGCGTTTGCATATTGATCTATTCAATGTCCTATTTTACGTAGAAATTCTCTAAAAGAAATATATGATGGCCACTTGATGAGTCATCAAAAACAAGTTTCTTTGCTAAAATGCGTTGTCTTTCAATATGACTTTTGATTAGTTCCGAATAGTGCCCTCTTGTTGGTTATGATCGGGTTATCTCTTGGATTCCTAACTGGCGTTGCCTCACAATATTGGATTACCACTCTGAAACAACTATGACGAGTTATATGGAAGTCTAACTAACTGTAACTTCAACTAGTCGACCCATGAATTCTGACCACCTGCCGATGAGGCCCAAGTTACATGTGTAGTTTGGAAGATTACTCAGACGTTCACCATCGACCTAAGAAAAAATAAAGTAATTCCCAGCTAACTCAGAATTACTTGGGAGCATTGGTGTGGTACGAATGATACTGATTTGAACTGACTATCCTTCAGACTCCATCGTCACGCACAATCCTCAGTTTTTCCAGTCAGCTACACACACTTAAACACTATACTCGAGTTTTACTCTTATTAGGGTTCATCAGCAGTGCATATCCACCGTCCCCTTAGTGATTTGAACTCCGGACCCATCGCGTGTGTGCTACCACTGGCCCAACCAGCTTCTACCTAATCTGAACCAAATTGGTCATTCACAACTGTTTAGGCATCGTCTTCAGTGATAGTCGGTCAGTTCACTTTTGGCCCGACAGCAACGAAGAGAGAGACAGCTGACTGCATGTTCACTCCAATCGAATTCAAAAAGAAAATAATTTGCAAATTCTTTTGTAACTGCTTTTGCATTCTATAATTTTCTTTGTGTCAGTTATCACTCGAATATCCTCTGCATTTATTGACGGATGTTGAAAAAATATGTTGCAAGAATGTCAATCACTTAGTTTGTGTGTAGTTCGAAGGTTTTGTCACAATTTTGAATTCAATTCGTGCTTCCCTGATCCTTTATTTTACTGTATGATTTTATTTAAGCTCCTTCCGTGCGTTGTCGGTCCTTGTTCACAAATAATTTACCAACTTTCAGGTGGAAATGAACCTGAAAACGCAGTCTTCTGTCCTGGAACATACTGGTCATAGAGAACTCGAGGATATTCTCAATAAAGTTACCGAGTAAAAGATGCTCTCTTTATTCTACTTGTAGGTTGCACGTTTAGTGACTTTCATCGACCGATCACCGAAGACAATAATCACCGTACTTTATAAATGCAGATTTTCTCGCTTCTCTATCTGAAACTCACCTATGATGTTCAAACACGTATGCAGTAAACGTAAGCAAGATAACAGTGCAACAGAACGATACCATTGTGCAGATTTCAAACAAAAATATCTCCAGTAATTCGAGGAAACTCCAATCATCTGTCATTATTATTCAGTGTGAGGCTGTCGTCCGTTCTCGGTGGATTTTGGGAACTGTATTGTTTGAACATGCTGCCATGATTATTGCACGTATTGCCCAAATCACTCCTATCAGCTAGTGTCATCCCGCTTCCGTATCCACTCGTTTCTTATTTTTTGATACTGTGTCTGCTGGGCTTGGTGCAGTTTTAGGCCGGGATAACAAACAAGCCATTTGTGAGCCAAACTGTGTTTAAGTAAAGCAAAAAGCGGTATTTTGTGAACGCTTTGGTTGTCTAGGGGGTCACTTAGCAGGTAACCCATGCCTTTAGTTTAGGTGACCGACAGGGGGGTGCTTCACGATGGAAGTAAAATCCATTTGTTTAAAGAGCATTAAACGCAAGCACCTGTTTACCCCTGCTTGACAACCCTGTTTGAACCAACAGGCAGGAAACTTGTCTTCGTGCTAAATAACATGTAAACCCGAATCTGTTTTCACACTTCCGAGCCTCGTTTTCATAATGCTGTTATGTCATCACTCATGAAGCTCTTACCGAATCGATAGGGCCAAATATGCTACGTTTATACTGTGCTGAAGTAAAATTGTATCATGGTATTGAGTTACGCCTATTTTCTGGTTTGGTTTTTAGGAACCTTCACGTGTGATCGTGTCTAACATCAGATGCTGATGATGTGTTTCCTCATAACTGTCCTTCTGATCCAATACAATTCAAAGATTCGCGTTCGTCTCTTATAACTGATGACAAACCTTCAAATAGTAACTGGCATTAGAAGAATCCACGCGGAGTTTGCAGATCTGTGTGCAGGAAAAAAACAAGGATAAATTACAACAAACCTTACTTTTTCCCAGATTTTATGACTCAAACTGAACTGATTTATTTTTAACACGATTTCATCCTTTGCCTGTCATTAACCTAAAATTGAAGATGTTTGGTAGTTTTTATAAAGTTGATGCACTGCTATTTTGATTGATTCGACTGACTATCCTTCGGAATTCATATTCACGCCAACTCATCAGTTCATCGATTCAACATACACTCGGAAGCACTTGACTGGATTTTTGCTCTTATTAGAGCTCATCAGTAGTGCATACCCACTGTCTCGTCCCGGATTTAAACTTCGGACCCATCACATGGAAGGCGTGTGTGTAACTACTATGCCAACCGGCTTATGCCGCGGCTGAAACAAATTAACAATTTATGTTTGTTCAGGTGTTGTCTTCATTTATAGTCAGTCAGTGAATTGTCCAACACACACTACTCAAAAGTAACTGTGAATCAAATGCTCTGTTACTTCTTGGTTTTGCTCTACGACTTCATCTTCGTCTTTGAACTTATCTTGTGTCAATCGGTTAGACGTGAAGTTTACCATGAATCGTTTAGTAGGAAGTTCGTAGATGCCCACCCTCAATGCTTGTCTGGATTCTATGCGATGGCTAATGTTTGTCAAGAGTGAGATTATGGCACCTGCTATCGTCCCCGATCCGCATTCATCAATACAGCCTAGGCAGTATTCCGACAATGGAGTGGATGTAGGCCAGCTGGTAATCGGGAACTGAAATGGCCATCAACACGCATATACCTCGACAAAAGCAATGTTACCATTCATTATCATTTGTGTTTCAGATCTCATACGTTCTATAACCCTTAACGAACTGCTCGCCTTGTTAAGTGCTCATCAACGAAATACCCGGGCAGCAACTGAAACGTCTTTCCTGGAATCATCTGACACGTAGATAGATAATGACAAGACATAGCCTCAAGTCAATCGGGGACACATTTTGATTTCAGTGTAATTAACCGTGACCTGTTTATCCACAAAGCGGCACTTTGACCAAGAGCACAAATATCAAACTTTGGCGGAAAACCACAACTTTGGAAAGGTTCCTAAAAACGCATGGTTCTTTTTGTTCCATCCGGAAATCCGCAAAAATGCAATGAGATTGCAACTGTAGCTGAAATAGAGAAAGACAGTGGAAAACATTGCCAGGCTTAGTGAGATGTTAGATAATCCGTTACAAGTCGTTGGTTGTTATATTTTCTTCGTATTTCCTTTGCTGACATCAAGAGGAAAAGGGAATGCAAAACAATTGTTTAGTTAAAGTAGACATTGGCACGGAATGCACATTTTTTTAAAGCTATTTATCATCTTTGGTCACCGTGAACAAGCGTATACCTGAGGGCAGATCGAAACAGACAGGACTTTCAAACAGGCTTAGTCTTTTCACACAATAGTATCATTTGTTATAAAACTTTTGTTTCGGCAGGTAAAGCACCGCATGTTATCTTGATTAAAAATAGTGCTTAGATTTTCCAAACACAACATACGGATTAAGAAAATTTACGCTAATTGAGTTAAGCACGATAGTCTACGAAGCGGTTTATTCTTTGATTAACTTCCGTAATTTATCGAGCTTTGAAAAAACTAGACAATTTACCAAAGTTAGGTACGTTTTGTTACTTGCATTAAGTTAATGAGACATATTTCGATTTGACCAAGTGATAGTGTCCGGGACGTTTCAACCTATCTAGCTGATATAGGTAACTTGCCAATTTAATTTGCAATCCGACACCACTGGTGATAAGGACTAAACCATCGTCTACTTTGACCGATCATGCCTCAGTAAAGTTCATGACAAACTGCATCTAGGCACACGAACTTGCTTGGTATACCCAGGGGCAAAAAATTGATCTTTTTGGATTGGAGCAACTGTTGTCCGTGGTAACCACTTTACACCGGTGCTTCTACCGAACGCGACTGACCAGCTGCGGATCTGGGATGTGACGATCCAATCTGGTGTGCGAATAATTAAAATCACCATTCGCAAATCACTGCGAAGCAAAAACAAATAGGACATGTACAACAGCGCACTTAGGCAGAAATATCTACCAGATTACTCACATGTAGCACAGGGTTTAGCGAAAGAGGTAAACAAGTGACTGCAAAGACGACGTGCAAATGCCTAATTCTACTCGGGCCATGTCTTATCTAACTGGCACATTATTCAAACAGGTTCGCTGCATGCATGGCAATTGAGGTTCAAACCCTGCATAAATCAGTTAATATTCAGTATTCGTGATGTTCAACAAGGCCGAAATTCAGGCCTAATCCTCACGAGTTTCCCGTTAACCATGATTATTGCACGCTGAACCCGCGGATGAAGCATAGCAGAAAATCAGCCAGAATAATAATGCGTTTTTGGACATAGTTTACAGTACTCACTGCGATGGTTACCCAAGTAAACTGGAAGCACTCCAGATCATTGTTAACGAATTGCAGCGCTGCACTCAACGGTACTTCTGGAAACGGATGTCCGAAACTCAACCAGTCAATCAGCCACTCAGCTGAGTGAAAAATTCTCTGCACACGATTGTGCGTCGGACATACTGAGACCACTGAGACGTAGTTTATCGCTCCCTTCAGAGTAAATGTTTCTGGTTATTGGATATCACATTATTCTATTCAAAAGTCCACTTCATACGACTTCTAACACATACGCGTTGATTACCGGTATGGTGTGCTGTCATCCACGTTAGAGATGCAATCTTCCTGAATTGAATATATGAATCTAATTGTAACAGTTGCCATAGGTTGCCCGCACATACACACACATTCAGGAAGAAATTTCTTTTATTAGAACATGAAACCATTTATTACCCGCCATTAAACATGAAACTTCATTTTAACAGAACTATGGGTTACATATACTGTAATGATCACTGTCATAGTTATACCAAATACGCTTTATCTGACTGGTTCGGTTGCCAATATATTGAAGACAAATTGGAGACGAATACTAGCATTTCCCGCAGCCAGATTTGAAGAAATTGCTAGTGAATGTAAACACAGCAAGTGGTGTTCTGTTTTCCTTTGAGTACACGAGATTAGCACAGATTACTGCACCTATAGTCGTTGGAAAACCTGCATGAGAGAACCAGGTGGGTTGTCGCTTAACGAATCCCAATGGCCATGAGCATGCCAATGCATAATTGCTGTAGTGATGTGACAGCAAGTCGCTCGACTTGTCTCCACCTGTCCTTTGGACGATCTTGTGCAGAATCTACCCGATGCACTGACTGACTGTTACCTTCAGAAACTGGAGCGTTTTTATGAATTTTAAAACCTACGGTGCATAGAATGTGAATGGCTTGTGCTCGGGAAACAAAGCAGACGAAAACGCAGTCTGGCGAATGGGCACGTTATTCTTAAACTCCTTTTTTTTATTCCTCACGTTCCACAAGTGCGAGAAACGGTGCGTTAGAGTTTACGTGACAGGAGTTTCGTCTCGCGCTTGTTCTAGAGCTTCCGTCTGTATGTATGCAGGCATTGTTTTGCAAAACTGAAAAAGGCAGTTGGGGGCGCAGACTTGATCACTGATAAATCAACAACTGAAGTCACATTTTCATTATGGGGTAACATCAATTCTGTATGAAACAGCACATCCGTTCACTTTTTGTTTAACAGTGTTTTCAAAGGCCAAACACAAACTGAATTAATTCGGCTAATGTGCATACCCACACATGGACACATGCATGCACGCATGCACACACGTATGGATAACCGGCATTTCAGAATTTGTTGCTGTGTATTAGAAAGAACAAAAGCGCCACCGAGCGCGTGCAATGATGTTTATGTGGAGACGAACACGAAAAAGATTGCAGAAGTACCGTCTGGACTCGGGCGCGTGCGACGTGAACAGTAGATCGGTAAAACAATCAGCAGGATAGTGAGAAAGCAGTTGACAGAGTGAGATAGAGATTGAAAATAGAGAAATCTCTGGGAATGCTGTGTGTCGGTTCGATGAGAACACATCCAATGAGAATAGATCCACTATGTGGCTCTTCAGTCGCTTCGGATTGGACAGATGTAGGAAAACAGAGACCACTATGTACATATTTCACTTTCGGTATGCTAAATTGTTTGACTGTGTGTATCCGCGAGGAAATGGAAGTGTCAATGAGATATTTTGGAAACCAACCAACTCGATTTCACCCAAATATAATTTANATTGGTATTTCCAAAATCACTTGTTACAGAGTGCATAATGTGTGGTGCAACTTCGTTTTTTGCCTGTTCATGTCTATTTGATCCAGGAGTGTACAATGTTAGCGAAGAACGAATAGAGGTGGTATTTGCACCTGGGATACCCCGTCTGTCACGCTTTTGACAAGACAGCCGGGCCAAGACACGCATCACGTATCGATGGTAGACGGAACAGGTTGCGATCAGAAGAATCGGTCCGGTCACGGCATTGGACATAGCCAGGACCATGGAAAAATCTAACAATATTTCAATAGAGGGATGCTGTACATGAAACGCTTTGTTTAACAAGTTGCATACATGCGTCGGGGACCAGGAGAGAACGAACAGGGCAGCCATGAGGACACACAGACGTGTCAAGCGTTGCCTTCGTCGAGTCCAGGCTAGAGTGTGCTGATGTCCCATCAGGACGAGAAGACGTTGAGACTGTTTCAAGTGCAGAGTTACTACATGCTGACTCAGGCAGACGACAAATAGCGGCAGCAAATAGATTGCCACAATCAGGACAACATCGTAGGTCACTTGAGCTTCACGACTCCAGGTTTCCCTGTATGTAGAGAGAAATCCGGCAATGATGAATTTGTCTTATCACTTCATTGAAATTAAGTACTGTCCAAAGGGGAATGTTTCAAGTGTGACGGCAATATTTATTATAGAAAATAAATTTCTGAAAGTCTGGATTAGGAACCTAACATGTTGAAAAGCACTTACCTTGAAGCTCACGAAAAATCTACGCAATGAATTTGACATATTCAAGAAACTAGCAAAATAGATTTTTATATTCTGTTGTTTTGGAATACATGGTTCGTCGACATCTGTGAACGTAATATCAACCGGTTTCAGATCAAAATCGAAATACGACCAGCAAACTATATTCCGAATTTTATGTGGTGTTTATGAAGTTTCCACGAAGGAGGCTGTGATCGATTCAGGGTAACCACGGGATGATCCGCCGTTGTGGAAGATGGTACGATTTGGCGGTGCGGGGATTAGACCACACCATTCCCGAGTTGCTGTAACGATGGACCACGACCGTGGACGGAAAGAATAAACAAGTTTCGTGTTTGGATTGTCACCACTGATGAATTCCATCAGCCCTGACACCTAAGATTTACGGTGTGGACAAATCACCTCATTATTCAATGATCGCCTTTCTCATATACATAGCCCATTCATTGTAAAATACATAAAGCTGATGGAATAGCTGACAAACAGTACTTATAACTGTGGTATCCTGACAGCGATTAACGTCTTTTTGTAGAAAAGTACGATTCAAATAGGAACAGTTTCTCTAATGTTCCAAAATTCTTGCATTTGAAGTGCATGGTTATCCCTGTAGGTACGGATTGTTAATTGGTATCAAGTCCGTTTACCAAGTAGTAGATGCAAGCAAACCGGTTCCATCGGTGCGGTACACAGACTGCAGGTTCACGTTCAGCGCAGTACATGGGGATCTGATCCAAATGGTGAACGCAGATCTCTGATATGATGATAAGTTTAGGAATACAAAAATTGAATTAATGTGAATACATAAAAGCACAACAAACATTCCAATTACTCAGTAATTCATTCTGATTTGCAATGGTAATTTCCATGGGTTTGATGACTGTGATTCTATATGCAAAACAAAACGAAGAACTTGGTTTTCCCTCAGTGCGAAAGTGAGAATGCAGGAAAAAGAGATGGATAGCATCAAATCTTAAGATCAATTCGGTAAAACATTTAGTGGATGCGCATTGTCTCACTGAGACGCTCATTGGTCTGTATCTGCTGTTTCAAAAACACCCTGAGCGGAATTGAATGATTGATTTACTCCAAATACATGAACATTCACAACGGTTTTTCCGATGAAACGCTAAATATGAAAGTGAGATGTCTAGAATTCAAGTGATCTTGAAAAAAGAAATCCAACTTAAAATTATATTTGGGTGGTTAGGAGGTATTACTGGGATAATCCTGAATGAAAGTTAATACAAAAATTCAAGCACACCTTTACCACACACACTGATGGTAAGATGCAGTAGAAGAATAATCCATAAAATAGTTTAGATTACCTAGTCCTAGTTTGTTCATCTGGAATCTATCCTCAGCTATCAGCTGTATCATAGACTATGCTCGTTGACGGTTTCAATACAATTGCTGCAAAACCGTTTGATTTAGTGCCGTGGGTTGCACTCAAACACATTTTTGCCCAATTATACTAATTGGTTGTGATTCCTCAAGTACGATGATCATTGGTTCTCTCGTAACCGCGTGAATCAGTTTCGATGAAGCAACCACCTGCTTGATAGCCCTCATTCGTTTGGCCCCTTAATAAACGTCTTTATTCAGTTTGGTGATTTCTAACATCAGATCATCAACTGAAGGACCAACGTGCTTAGCCAACGTCATGAGTGTCTCAAATTCATCTGAGTAATTGAATTACTTGCACTCGAGCGCTTTAGCTGAATGATCGCATCGATGACAGACTTGACTAATTTGATTGCCTCCGTAAGGACAGAAAATCATGTAGAAAAGAACACGGATATCTATGATCACACCAAAGCTCAATAGCAGTGTTTCCAGGTTCTATTACCACGGTCTTGGTTGTTTGACTTCCACTTGTATTTCCCAAATTGTTTACGTTTCAATGTTCACGGAAAATTCCTATGAAAATATCTCAATTTTTTGCAGAATGAAATCAGTTTTTATGCCCTAAATTTCTCCTTCTGGTAATTTGAGTTTCCGGAACGTTAGGCATAATTTTCGGACATGGTAGTCTTGCATTTACCTGTCTTCTGCCTAAAGTTTAATCTGATGACCTCTGGTTTGCCTAACCAGAAGTCTCTGGCGCAGAATCCACCGTCCTGAGGGGGAGAGCAACCTGTAACAGGTGATTTATTAATCCTGGTTCTGCATAGATCCATCTATTTATGCATATGGCATTGCCCCTTATGCACCCCATATAAAACCATTTTCCTTCCGATGAAGTTTCTCAACTTTTCGAAATCAGTAAACCAACGTCCACCGTTGGCCCTTATCATCTGCAATCAACTTTACTAAAATGCAGCCAAATACGTAACACAAGAAATGAAATCACTCATCAGCATATTATTTGAAGATGGTACTACCTTCATTCCACAAGAGACTATTGCGTTGCTCCAGTTCTTTATGACGATCCAATCAGTGTTGTTTTGGCACATCGGTGTGGTATGAAAGATTATAAGCTGAAGGTGGGAGCGCGTTCGGCAACTTGGCAGTTAGAAAATTTAAAAAATATTGAACTACAATATCTAGTGACCGAAATCTGATCAGGATCTTTAGATAACTCTGTACGAGACGGGCAAGCAAAAATAAACAGAAAGATAAAATGTTGAGGCAAGCTCCGAAGCACAAAAAGCAAAGTGTGGAGAAGGTACACGGGAACAATTGTTCGACGATGGTCTAGGGAATCCGAACCGGGATTTAGAAAATGATCATCGATCATCCGGTTGGCCTTTCGTTGAACGCAACCAATCAGGGAAGAGCAGAAGATGAAACCCCAGTCCATGTGTGACCGCACTATTCAAGTGGGAGATGGACTTGAGCTTGGTATAACGGATGTGTGCTTGGGTGAAGAAGCGCCTGGGGCGGAATACAAGACAAACCTGTCTTGCAGTACGACAAGTAAGCTCAGAACTGCAAAGGGACCAGCATAATAAAGAGACACAGGAATCCTAGAACAGAAACATGGTTAGTGTAACGCAGTTGCGTTGCATCAAAAGAAAAGTGTAGGGAGACTGAATAGCATTTCAGAAAAATTGAAAGCGGGTAGATTTTGGAAGCGTGCCGTGCGGCGTGATCACCCTAGTCCCAGGAGATAAGCTCAAAATAGATGTCTAGTTACTTTAGTTTTCCTACAGTCACGATCGATATTGATTTTGGTATGGCGAACAGTGTTGTAGGAAACAGAGAATTGGAGGATGGCCTCGTCGAATAAAAGGTTGAACTGGGGAGTCAATTTTGGAAAAAAGAGCATTAAACTTTGATGGAAGCGAACATTCTCATGGAACGGATAAGATAGAACCCACTGAAATGAGACGGAGATCTTTCGTTCGTTGAGAACACTTGATGTAGACGAGAACTTTGCCAGAGGGGACTCCAACATGGGCAAATTCACCAGTCTTCACCAGATCTTCATGCAACACGGTACAAAACCAACTGAGTTTCTCCGACACTTCCGAGTGAAGTCTAATAGGATTGTGCGGTATTAGCTTCAGGTCACTGATAGAACGACGCTATAAGAAGGCAAGTTACCTCTTGCTCATATTCCAAGATTACGCATGGCTCGTTGAAGATTATCGTTTTAAACTGACTCAAGAGAACAAATGTAGAGGATATGGATCGGCAACCATTGGGGTCAGAAATGTCACAGCGTTAGGGAAAGAAAAATCACTGGGTATGTTTCGAAGTGGTCGGAAAAGTAAGACATTGGAAGGATAGACAGAAAAAGGCAATGCAAATACGATTCCACTCTCATGGATGCAGCGTATTCACCTTACACTGTCACTTCGTACATCAGTCATGTGGTCCTATTATTGATCTGACTACTCTCCTTTATGGTGCTGTAGACCTTCATCCAGCAATCTGCAACGAACAAAATTTGGTTTTATTTTCTCAGAATAACCGTGATATTTCTAAATTCCCATCTCATTGTGGTCCGGCACACTGACGCGTCTATTTTCGCTCTTAATATCTCATTTTCCAAGACTGCCCTTCTAAATTTGTCTACTCCGCCAATCTGAGGCCTAATAGATGAATCATCTTCTAGCTTGTATACCACAGCGTCCTACCTACTTCATTTCACTACTCCTCAGTTATCTCTCTTGGTTCTCTCAAGGAATGCAAAACTGTGGTTTATCTACCATAGCGTCGTTCCCAACATTAATAAAACTAAGATGTGATCATCACATTGAAGCCAGGGAAACATTTTTCAACACGATTTTCAATGAAAGAAGAAATCCATTGTACCCAGACTGATCCACATCTAACTCTGATCCGTCAACGCAATCTGAGCACAGACCGATTTACCCCATACAAACGTCCACCAGGAATCCCTCATACCTTTGTTATACCGAGTTCAGTTCATCAAAATGAAAGTTACCGTTGCGTTTCTTAATACATTTAGTCGCTAAAACCATTTCCGCCTTTTTCCATGTTTTCTCACAAAGACCACACATGAAGGCTCAACATTTCTTTGATTTCATACCTCTTTTTATCATGAAAGATATATTGATCTGGGAACAGTTCACTCATTTAACCAAATCTGTCCGTTAATCTTTCGCCCGATAATAGCTCTAATAACCATCATGTACGCCCTGGGTCACCTTGAACTAAAGCTAGCTATGAGACTGTTCAATCATCAGTTTGCAAGAAGTGCATGCTGCAAACTTTTTCAAATGTTTCAGCGGCGGAGCAACTTCCGTGATTGTGTGTCAGTCAGACCCGGGGGGAGGGGGGTTAATTCATCACAACTTACAATGTTTGTTTCCTCCTAACGGAAAATTCGAGATGTCCTTAACTGGTTGGGAACTTTGTGAGTAAGCTCAAACACACCAAACAAGGGGTTTACACAAACTATATTTTATTCAGTATTCTTAATAATAAGTCACCTACAAATAATTTGCTTTTTCTCTTAGTGTATAGATGAATGTGGGAATGATTTGTTCATCTCGCTGACTCTTGTTTTCCTTTTGTAATCAGGCAAGATTTACGTAATTTTGTAATGATAGTGGTTTTCTTATTATGGGTGTGCGCTTCCTATGGACCGAGTATTTCACCACAAAGAGCAGGAAATTTAATGCCATATCCTCAATCCGCTTGGTATGAACTGCCGTCTTCTACCACTCAGAGTGAACCTGTTGATCGTGGAATTGTGCGATGGAATGAAGAATTCGTGTTGATCTATTCGAAGATGCTCGATTCCTTCTAATATGATTATCCGTGGTGATCTTCTGCAATCAACTACTCATAAGAGAACATGTATGGACTGATTTGGTTCAGCACAAGGTTATTCAAATCACATCTCTTCTATATAATTTGTAATTTTGAAAACACAGCGATGTCGGTACAGATGAAAATAAGACGACGTTTTCGGTTACCGTGGGTAACCATTATCAAGGCGATTTTACAATCGAATGAGTCAGGAACAGTTTGCCAGCTAACCTCTCACGCATTGTGTGTGTGTACGCGTGTGCGTTTGCATGGCGCATCGATTTTTCGATACACACCGAACGTTGTTCAGATCTGACACTCTGCACATCTCTTCTACATTTTATTCCCTAGCGCAAGTCTCTTACGGAAAAATGAAGCTTCTTCAACCGTATATTTTAAATCGCTGGTACTGTACCTCAGTAAGAGATCAGAATGTGGAACTCCAATAGTGTTTTACGCTCAGTCAGCACGTGATGGATGAGCGCAGTAAAGAAAAAAGTTTAAAAATACGTTTCTATTCACACATCATCTGTTACGGAAAACACCACGTTGTGTTGTTTTGTCACTCGGTAGAAGAAATAAAGTGATTTAACGTGCACTCCTAGTTCATACCTCCATCAAGCAAACTAGTTTTTACTTTCGGGCAAAACATTAGGAGACAATTTGAGGGTTGTACTGAGCGAGCATGTATGGTGGTGAAGCGAAAGCATAAGTCACATTGGCACCAATTAATTGCCATTCGAATGTGTTACTTACTAATGCCAGAATTTGTCACTTGGTTCACAATGGAAGTAATGACCTGATTATTTTTTCTTGTATGTTGAAATACGAACTTTGCTGACAAAAAATAAAATCCACTGCAAATGATCGGAATTAAGATTTAAAATTCCTTTAGTTGGGACAGGAGTATTAAATTGTAATGAGATAATTCAACTGGTTACGAAGAAGGTTCGTATCAGTTCCACTTGATGTTTTGACCTAAGAGCAAATTAACACAGAGCATCGTGTGCTTTTTGTAAGGGAAACACAAATAACGGAGATGTAAAAAAGTAAAAATGGCTGGTACGTGGTTTTCCTATAAATGAATATCTAAGCCTATTGGGATAAAGTAACGTAGTGGGGGTTTTCAACTGAAATTAACAGAAATTTCATATTTTGAATAATTTAGCTGAAGCCATAAGTATTTATTCGGCTTTCTCGGACCAGGGTAAAAGCCAACTTCATTGAAACCTCGTTAGGCGTTGCAACAATGCTTCACTTAACATCCTCGAAATTATCCCCTTCTGTGTTCGACAGTACACTTTAGGTCTTTGCACCATCCGGTGTGACCGATATAGAAGTATGGCATGCAGTTACAAACTTTGATTCGGATTGCCTTTCGAGAGTGGAATCAGAAATTTAATCTCCACCCATTTTAGCAGATCTGCTTTGGTGCATGAGTGAACGTTTAGCTCACCGTGATCCGAGAAAAGCGATTGCCTTTATTTGGTTCAACACCCTAACACTTCCGCTCTGGTCCATCGGCTTCCCACTTTGTCCGATGCAAGCTCTATTGTGAGATCATAGCTGGATGACATGTTTAACCCAAATAAGAGGACCGCTCTTCCAGAAACATCTGCTAGTAAGTCGGAGATGTTATCAATAGTTAAAACCCTAACAGTTTGCGAGGAGTGTTAACTGACTGACTGCCGCTGAGCATAGGGTGTGAACATACGGGATAAGTATTTATGTTCAGCCTTGGTGTGAGCTGGTTGGAATAGCAATAAAGGATACACACACCTTCCATGTCCTTTAAATTGTCGATTTACAAGAAAATACGATTTGTGACACAACCTAACAAGAGCCGCGACCAAACTTAGGACTCAATAACTGTACATTTCAGCGAAAATAAAGTAGAGAGGGAGTACAGTAAACTAACCAATCATTATCACGTATCCCACATCACAAGAAAATACTTTTTGAAGAAGTTAAAAGTATATTTAGTCACTTGTATTATTTCAATGGGACGAATCGGCGACTTTGGGTCAGTTGCGTATACCTTGCCAAAACTTTCGAAAAGCTGTTCTTCACCGATTTCCTAACGATAGCGATTGAAGCAGTCTTGTTACAATAACTTATTATGTCCTTCGCTACAGTGGCACGTAATCAATGATAACTTATAACATACCTTTAGGAAATACATGCCATTTATGATTTCGTCTATATATATTGTGATTAATTAGAAAATCTGCTCTTCGTATAATGTCCCAATTACAGTATTATTTCATGCACTGAACATATGATGAATCAAAACATTTCAGAAAGGGGAGGAAAATCGAACTAAATGATTGCTTTGTGACACCAAATACGGCGAACATTCAGAAGCAGTGATGAACTTCGAACGCACTGGCTCCTGGCCACTTGAATATGGATCAACGGAACTTGAATAAACCTTCATTTCAACAGTGTTATTTAGCAGTAACTATATTCCATCCGTTTTTATAAATTTGTTTTAAATTTCTGGCAATGCTCACACTAAACTCCAAAGTCATAATCACTGAGTTTTATGTATGCTGGGCATTAGTCACTTATTTGACTCAGTGATTGACTGTTACCGTCAGAAGCGTTTGAGGTGTAGCTTATCTATGGCTGCTACGGACGAACGGATCCTACACAGTGTGATTTTAGAAAACGTACCTACTATAATGACGACAAACTAGAAGAAAACAGCAAGCTCGTGATATAAAATAGAACGTGATGCTCTATTCACATCTTACAAGGTAGTGTGGGGTTGGTCCTTTCTGCGAAATATACATCACACGAACTACTGTTCAATCGCGTACAAACATTTCAGCATCCGAAAATCATTAGATACGTTCTACCTACGGGATATGGATTTTGAGTTATATCTATACAAAATGTAAGCTTCGTATTTACAAACATATGTTTACTTTGAGTGGAATATTGATTGTAGTTTGAAATCACATGAAACTCATCAAAACTTTAGAGGACTTAAAACATAGGAAAAGTGTTTAAAACAATATATCATCAACTTTGGGTTGGGATTTTCTTCGATTAATTACGAGAAACGCACTCGGATAACCGTCCACTTTATTCTCACCCGTTCGAATTGTAAGTATAGGCTTTATCTACACGTTTCACTTACTTGCAAATTTTTGGCAAAATATGCGACAGATTGTGCCGTTGAATCCACGGTTCCAGTTTGTACGTGAGAAGATCCTCCTTTATCACCATGGCCCCGGGTAACGCAATCGAGAACGCGGAAAGTACGGCCGCGCAAAGCAAGAATTTGACACGACACGGTACATTTGTGGTCGGGTCTGTCGGACTTTTGTCATTCTGGCTGATTGCCACACTACGATTCAAACAAATCGCGACCAACAAGAAATTGCTCAAAGCCACAATAAAAAGCATAGTGAATGCGGATATTTTGCACATGGCACTGCCTAGCAGCCAGTTTGGATAGACGGCTGTGTAAGCACTGTGCGGAACCACGAACAGGACAAGAGCTAGGTCACAAATTACTCGGGTAATCATCATACGTCGGTTGGAGAGAGACTTGGGATTACGAAGTTTGTGTATGGTATGAACAAGTAGGACGTTGATAAATATACCGGAAACCACAATCACAATGTACAAAGTAAGTAACACCTTTTTGTGCGGTTTATTCTCCAATGCATTATTGTATTTTTGTATAATATGAATTAATGATTCACGATCGACGGTAGTTGGTGAACGAACAGTGAAATTGGCAAGATTCTTCACCACGGTTGTGGTCGGCACCGTTGTGGATGGTGTTGTGCTCATGGACGGATCCGGCACCGAGTCACTCGTTTGATTGGACATGTCTCCTTAGGACATCCCGCAGTATTATTCACGTCTACTTGAGTACTCAGTTGAAACCTGAGCGCACGGAATAATTTGTTCCGGTGGGATAATCGTATTTCAAATTTGCGAAAATTATGCCACAGAAAGGGCAATTCTCACGGGATATGTTCTCTGTCCAGGAAGAGCGTAACCACACAGTGGCACCCCTTAAACAAGCAACGCCTACACGAAATCGTAAACACTGAACTGTGATTGGTAGACAGTGTGCAGCGCGATTTTGCCAGCCCCTGTTGTCCAATGAGTGATTAAGTGACAACTGATTTATAACGATTTGTTAAAGAATTGTTTTTGTACATAAAAAGTGAATTTTATGTAATGATCAAAATTTACCAAATAATCCTTACGGCAAATTGAGTGCATATGAAACACTGAATGAATTGCATGAGAATTGAAAGAACGCATACAGTTTGTTGTAATTAACGTTGCAACTAGTTTGGAAAGTCCATCCAAAGCGGTCTGGTTACCATTTGTGATCTTTTCAGNAGATGTGCGTGAACATGTTCTCCAGTCCCATTCAGACTCGAAACCAAAATACGTTTGCGATTTTTACCTCCGTACAATGCAGCAGATGAAGTAAACTCTCAGCACTGAAGGTCAGATTATGGAGAACAAAAAATTGTTTCCTCATCTCTATTGAAATGGTAACCGTTGGTAATAACGATTACGAACCAGTTGAAAAGATGAACTATGGAAATTACCCGTACACATTTGTCATTGTACGTTGAAAATTTCTCCGTAGGTCTGAAGATATACTGGTTACAAGGTATTTTACAGGTTATGCTGTCCCTCTCCTCCCCTATTTTGTCGTTTGCGAGTTGTGTGGTCTTCATCTTTGGTACTCACGACTATTTGCACTGCACGATGATTTTCATCCTTCGAGTGTATTTTGCTGCAATTACCAGTCAAATATGTGTATATCGAATATCAAACGTTTATGCTTATTATTGAGACCTTTTTAATGTTAAGCACGTACATGTTGCATTATTCTTGAAACGTTGATTCAAGGAAACACCAAGTCTCCTACTAGGTACTATAGCTCACATGGTCTGCATTCTGGTAGGTGTGATGATTAGTAGGTACTGTAGTTCACAGTACACACAATTTACAATATTTTTATGAATGTGACCGTGCTTTCAACTAAGATGAACGTCGATAAATCTGAAAGAAAAAAGAAAAAATATACCGTGCACCAACACCTTGCGTTTTGGCTTTTTGTTCGTCGTGGATAAGACAGGCTAATTTTCTCAATACCTTGCTCCGGTTCATGGGTTGTACTGTGAATGAAATGTACAGTGTTGCAAACTAACGGAAATCTTGAAATTCTGTCTATCTAGGTAGAGAAATACAGGAAAGGTGCAGCGTTTTGGGACAACTTTGATGAACAGCGGATAAAATGACAGGTTCAACGGGATATGCAATCGATGTGTGTCTCCGAATCATTGCACGTATTGCTTAGTTATTAGGAAGGTAAATAATAAACCCATGTACAGATGGGTACAAAGCTTACGCAGAGAAAAACGAAAAACTAATTTCTTTGGAGAACATATTCGAAATTTGAGTAAAGAGTGCATGAGGTCTATCATTGAGAGGTTCAACCAATTTAACCACTATCGAGAACAACCAATCAAAGCAAGTTTGCAAATAGAAATACAGTTGGAGTCCTGTTCTTCTCTCACTAGACCTTTGGGTTCATGATGTTTGTATTTTCATCTGTTTGTGAGATGTCAGTTAACCCTCTCCACGGAGTAACTCCTTGTAAGTTGTCCTGCAGCACACAAGACCCCAGGCATATTATACTATTAGACGGCGAAGTTTCACTTAAAAATATCAGTTGATAGCCAGTATTTCAAGACGAATGCGGTTGGATCTAATCATTTTCTGTCCGCCTTTGGCCAAACTGCTTTAGTTAAGAAATTGTGATTTTGCACTGAGCACTGTTATTTTTATTATTACCCCCAGAGATCCAATAAAGGAATAAGTAGGTTCCTTGTAAGCACGACTGATACATTTGCAATTCGGATTTTCAGTCTCAAACTATCCAAGTAAGAGAAGTTTATCCAGTCCCTTTTGTTACCCTGGCCTGGATTGCGTATCAAGTGTCCTCCTCATACACCTGCCCCTACCCGTTATCGTCTAGTACAATATTAACCGTAGATCACCTTTTTCTATACTCTCTGATCCCGATTAAATCATATACCATGCTTGAAATGTAGTTTCTAGTGTGTCTTACGTACCATCCTCCTCCTCGATCGGTTTATCTCATACAGTTCATTTACATTTCAATCATTCCATTTGCCTAGTATTATTTCATGTCACTTTTATCCTCTCACCCCTGCCACGATTTTAGCATTGACTACTACTGGCTTCGTCACATTCACTTGCTCTGTTCGCTCGCCTTTGTCACTGTCATAAGCTTACCCACAATAAGTCCATCGAAAACCCGTATTTTTATCGTCACATATCCATATTTATTTTGTTTCCGGGTTGAAATCTTTAGTAAAACCGGAGCCATTTTTCCTGCTGGAATAAACATCATGCATGTAAGCACACCATCAAAATTTAATTATGAATGCTAGCCTCAGAAGCGGTTTTAAACAATAAATTATGCTCTCTCAAGGAAAAGTATTTCGTCCAAAACTTAGCAAACATTTTCGGCTTTTAAACCTGGCGATGATGGTGATTGTCGGTAAGAGTTAGAGAATCGCGCCACTGTGTTCACAGAAAGGATTTTTGAGGGCACTCAGTTATCCACAGCCATTAACAAACACGACAGTCATCCAGTCATCCACTCAATGACCGAAACCAATGCGTGCATGATGACCAAACAATGGGAGTTATCAGGTCGTGCAACTGGAATGTGATGCCACTGTGGTGATTTCACACTGAGTTTTCCAATGATATAACTTGTGATCTAATAGCCTATTGGTAAATCACTGCAAGAGAATTTATTCGCTGGTGGGCAATTCCTAAAGTATTTACGACCCAATACTGTTTTGTTTAAATAACGGAGTCAGAGTTGTTTCACTTCTCGATTACGTGTACCGACTACTAAAATGTAATAAGAAAAAATAGCCATTACTTTTCCCCAACGGAAATCAATTATCACTTTCTGGATAGTGATAAATCAGCCTTCACTGAGATCAAACCTTTCTGATCGAGTTCTCTCTTTCAAAGCATTCGCTAAGTCATGTTTACTTACTGACCTTACGAGATGTGTTTGCCTTTATCGCTACAAACGGACATATCATGTTTACGTTTCATTTTTTATTGAAATCACTCTATTGCTTTTTGTGTATACGTATTTTGATTTCATTCACTCAGCAAGAAAAATTCGCATCGAAACATTGTTGAAAAGAATCAGAGACAAACTATCGTGAAAGTAATCATCATTTGGGGGAAGTGAACCAATGGGTTCAATTTTTTCATTTGAAAATTAGCGCAGGGATCAAGTGACTAACGTATATTGTGGAGAGGTTTTGAGCCTCTTCTTTCCAACAACTCAGGTAAACTTCTCAATAATCTTCACGGAATGTTCTGTCACAAATCGAGTTTGACCTTCACTCTTAGTTCAACAAAGCGGTAAGCAGATCCGATAAAACACGGTTCCATAAAACTCGTATCTCCTTTGTGTTACTCTACATCAGAAGGGCTTAGCTGTTGGTTACTAAAAGTAAACACTGGGGTCTGGTGATCCTGAGGTTTGCAGCGTAAACTGTTCACTACACAACAATGCGACGCAAAAGAGTCACTGATTTGCAGATCTCGGGTTACGAATTTCGGTACAAGTATTGTTTCTACAAAACGATTCAGCAGGAGTAAAACTCAAGGAATTTATCCCATCGGTGCATATGACAATACAACACATCTGTCTTTTTGCGCATTCATCGCTGAACAATAAACTATTCTGTTTCATTGCTGGCGTGGACAGCATTAACCTGGAAACTACCCTGGTAACTCAGCACACCTGTTATCCGCTTCATATGGTAGTTTTTCATCTGTCTGTATTT